CTGAATCCTTAATTCATGCCACTACTGTCTTTACAGATGGTTCAGGAAAAACTGGAAAAGCAGCTATGATGTGGCAAGATGCCATGCAAAACTGGCAACGCAAAATCCAGGAACATTTCAAAACTATACAGCAGGTGGATATAGGTGCCCTGATACTGGCCTTATAAACTTTTCCTCACCAAGACACACATATAATTAGTGATTGTGCTTATGTGGTGTATAGTATTGCTCATTTAGATCTTGCATATGTGAAGGGTATTACTAATGAACCCCTATTAGCTTTATTTCTTGCAGCACAAGAGCTTCTCTGTGCCTGTCATCACCTTCTTTACATCACATATATTCACTCTCATTCTGGGCTACCTAGTCCCTTATCAGAAGGGAACACTCAAGCCAATGCTCTGGTGTGACCAGAGATGTGGTTTGCAGACTTTTCTGCCTGTTTGTGAGCTCAAGTTGATTATGCTTTTTTTTTTTTTTTTCATCAGAATGCCCATGGTCTTAAACAGCAGTTTCATTTGACACTTGCCCAAGCTCTGCGAGCTAACACGCCTGGCCTGTGCTATCATTCTTTATAATGAATTTTCCCAGAACAATCTTGTAAAGAAAATACATTCCTATTGGGAAGGAGTGCTCCAGACTCTTGAACCCCATCTATTTACCACTGCTCAAGGCACAGAATAAAAGCAATCTTAGGAGTTTCAACAAATTCTGTGATTAAAGTCCACTTAGATCACATTAAAAAAAGACATTATTACTGGTTGCATAACGAGGGAGTGTCATGCTCTTGTCTAAAGGACAGGAATCTCCAAGCAATCTACCAACAGCAGAGATCACATCCAGATATGCCAGAAAAAGATGTCAGCCTAGCATGTTCTAGAGAAACTTTATTTATTTTTTTTTTTTTGAGACAGAGTCTTGCTCCATTGCCAGGCACCAGGCTGGAGTGCAGTGGCACGATCTTGGCTCACTGCAACCTCCGCTTCCTGGGTTCAAGCAATTCTCCTGCCTCAGCCTCCTGAGCAGCTGGGGACACAGGTGTGCGCCACCACACCCAGCTAATTTTTGTATTTTTTTAGTAAAGATGGAGTTTCACCATGGTCTTGATCTCTTGACCTCGAGATCCGCCTGCCTCGGTCCACCAAAGTGCTGGGATTACAGGTGTGAGCCACCGTGCCTGGCCCAAAACTTTGTAGAAGCAAACTAGATGGACAATTTAAGAAGAATTATATAGGAGTTCTTTGCCCCATCTGTAAAATGGATGTAACAATAGTATTGTCACATATAATTTTCCTGAGTATTACATGAGATAATTTAAATAAAGCTTTGGCTTAATGCTAATATGTTATTCTTGTTATTGTTGTATTATTGTTATTGTTACTGTTGTTGGTGTTAAGACAGCTTTTCACCCACTTTTCTATGAACCTTTCCTGGGTTGGTACATGTTTAGTTTAGCATAACTAAAGGAGGCTTTAGATAATACACCTTAAGGCACAGATGGGACAGAAACTCAAAAGATTTAATGATGATAGCTAACATTATTAATCACATACTCTCTGCCAGGCATGTTTCTATGTGCTTTACAAGAATCATTTTATTTAATACCGTTACAAAGTCAAGAGTTAGATACAACTATTACCTGAATTTTACAGCTAAGAAAACTAAGTTACAGAAGGAATCTGAATAATTTAGCCAAGGTCACCTAGCTAGGAGAACTGGAATCAAATACAAGCAATCTAGATGATACCAGAATATGAATCCTGAAAGCACAGAAGATGTAACTATATTTTAGATAATTTAATTTGAGGCAAACTATAGTGGGTCCTTATCATTCCTCCATCCTTGCTGTGTAACTCCTGAGACCCATTTATTAATGGAAGCCAATGGTGCTGAATGGCTACAAAGTCACAGAATTGGAGCAAGGAAACAGTCCAAAAGTGAAGGAAAAGAAACAAAAAGGATCCAGGTTGCAATACTGGCTCATCTGGCTAAAAGTGGGTTGTCAAAAGGGATGCCCTGACTAGGGCTGCAAAAACAGGAATTTTTAAAAACTGTTTTGTGTCTAAAAGATCTTTTATCAATTTTGTACTTAAAAGATCTTTATTAAACTAAGAGGAGGCATTAAACAAATGCTCTGGCCAAGGAATAGAGTGACAGTTGAAATTTAGCCTACTGCTTGTCTTGCCAACTTTCCTGATAGTTCAGGAAAAAGAAAATGAGAATATTCAATACAGTAGGAATGTTAAAAAGATGACAAGTTTGAGAGGCATTTAAAAAATGTGTTCAGATGTGTTTGTACTCTGAATAATTGTGGGTTTTGGGGGATCATGGTAGAGCTGTTATACATGCAGATGATATAAATAAGTGTGTGGCATTAGATTAGTTTTCTTTTTTCAAGTGATTTTAGACCAGGCCAAAAAAAAAAAAAAAAAAGATTCAGGGAGGGATTTTACGGTGATAACTAAAAAATATCACATTGAGGAAGAAGAAGCAGTGAAGGAAACTCAGAAGAAATGGAAAAGTAGGAGGCAAATTATAAGAAGAATGTCAGAACCTATTAGTGAATTTGGGTTAGGTAGAAAAAATACTATTTTAATAGTTTAGTAAATAATTCAGCACAAATAAGAATGACTGAGGAAAAGTCACTAGATTTTGTCCTTAAAAGATTTTTGGTGAACTAAGGGGAGACAATTTGGCTCACATGGTAGGACATCAAAGTCTTTTACAAGGAGTTTGGAAGGAAGGCTTAAGAAGATAGAAACAAAAGATTTGCAAGAGAAATGGAGAATGGACAAACTACGTAAGCAGTTGCTGGATCTTGGGATTTTTATTTTTAGGATATTTAGAAGAGAGCCAGAAAAATACAAATCCTGAAGTTGAAAGTTGGAAAGATATATAACTACTAGAGCCAGACACCCCAGGCCACAGAAAGCAATGGCATCAGGGACCCAAGTAGAGAATAAACTTTAGAAGAGATAGTCCCTCTTGGAAATTGAAAACAAGGAAGCGGGAGAGGTGAGGGTGCAGATAAATTCTCATTTTTTCTTGAAATGGAAGTAAAGGATAATCTTTAGCTTCTCAGTAAAAGAGGAGGTGAGATAGGGAAGTAGAGAAGGGGAACGATAATGTCAGATAAGTGAAAAGAGTTGGAAAGATTTTTAAAGCAGCCATTATGAGGAGTGGGATGAGAAGTCAATGAAGGAGAATAAATAGATATTTATTGTTCCTAAATAGATATTTATTGAGTTCTGTTTATCTTACAGCATGGTGCTGTATGATGTAAGAGGAAACATGATGAGTGTTTCTGTACTAGGGAAATCATTACAGAAAAATAGCTGCACATAAGAAAGTACAGGATGAGAACCAAGTGAATGTATGAAGTAACTGTCAAATTCAAAGATAGCAAAAGAAATGTTTCTTAGAGGATGTAAAACTTAGAGTATTTAGAACTTAGGCAGGCAAAGATGGGTGGTAATTAGAGAAGGTTTAATGGAGATGATTAAAGTCCAGTCTGGACATAAAGAAAAGGTGGGTTTAAAAACCTAGATATAGATGTGTAAAGAGGGGACATCACAGGCACAGAACTTAAAATCTATGGGACAAACTGTAGAAGCATCAAATTAGCTCACTTTTCCCCAGGACAGTCTTCATGTAATCAGATTACATCTGGATTCTTTTTCTAGAGAACCTTGTGTGACAGGCTAAAAGTTTGGACTTTTCTCAGGAGACATTAGAGAGACACTGAAAGTTTTTATAGAATTATATTAGGGACAATATAAAGTTGTGTTTTAGTAACATTACTGTAGCAGAGGTGGAGTGCAGATTGGAAAGCTATAGTGACAGTCCAGGTGGAGGCACTTAAGACTTCACTATTTTAATTCTCTTTACTACTTAAATTCTATTATGTGCTGTAATTGCCAGATAAATGCCTGGTTTTGCCTCATTATCATAGATTCATTAATTTCCCCTTTTTATCTATCTTCCATGTCTGAAGATTTTTAGTCCTTTAATTCTCCCAAATTTTCAGTCTTCTCTTTAGTTCCCGTCCTTTCTTGACCTCTGCTGTTTTTCTGTGCTGTTTTGTATATGAACTTTCCTGCTTTCTGTTCGGAATTTACTCAGAGTAGACCTGTACACTATAGCTTCACTGTAGAGAATCCCAATAAATTGTTGATGCTGTGTGTCATTCATTTCCTAATGTTACTGATATATTCTGTAATATTTGCTAAGCTTTAGTGGTTATTAATATTTTATGCTATCCTATTACATAAGCTCAATAAGATACTTCCATTTTTTAATTTTTTTTTGGTATTATGACTAACAGGTGAGCATATTAAATTCAGTGTGGTTGTATTTGTGAGTGGAAGGTAAGGATAGTAGCACTTGTAACTCTATATATAGTTTCTTACCATTTTATTGAGTTTTCACTCAATTATAATTAAATTTCAAAGTCCTTAAAATTAAGGTCAGAAATTTATATATTAGTTTGAACTTAGTGCTTTTCTTAAAATATCCAAATATTACTGTTTGTTTCTATCTGGATAAATTGTTTTTCTATTTAATTCTCTATTTCTCCCATCTCTTATAGTTACTTACTTTCCAAAATTTGTGAATATTAAAATATGTAACACAAAAATATATAAGAGATGAAGAATGAATAGAACAAAGTCTTGATTCTGGAATACAGATATAGTTACACAAACATAGTATGTTCCTGAAACTATTTAAATCTATGATAATCTTCCTTTAAAAGAATTATTATAGTTGTTTCTTGAAAGTATCCTGAAATTATTTTTGTTACTTAAGAAAGAGTTACCTAAGGCTTTAGAAAGTAGAGTTTCTGAGTAAGCAATTCTTAAAGCAAATTTTACTGAAGGCGATAAGAAAGCATCAAGTAAATTGACTTTTTAATTATAAATGAAATATTTTATTAATGATTCAGTCCTGCACTTCTGCTTGAACATTTCTACTTCAAAGTTTTTTCTTCCTTTTTTCCTCAGTGAAAGAGGACAATCGAACTTGGTGTCAACTCAAGGGTTCAAGAAAGGGTGAAAAAAATGAATAGAAGGAAGTCTTCATTCTGGAAAGGGACCCATTTTGAAGTTCAGCTGTAGCAGACTATTTTATAATTTTGTATAAAAATTATATCTTCATAATCAACTTGATTATTTGATTTATAATGTAAAAAAGCATAATGTTTCTTATGGTCTATAAATAACCACTTTTTTCAAGCGTGACAGATTAAGTGAAAACAAAGGGAGTGAACAAAAGTGGGACGGTGTCATGAATTTGTATCTGCCCTAAGGAAGAGGGCAGTACTTTTGGGGAGTGCAATTTACATGAGCATCTGGGTCCTTTGTCATGTTTTGGATGGATGACCTGAGTCTGATATATTGATGAATAGCATTAACAAAGGTCTGGTTGTCAAAGGCTAGGAAGAAAAATGCAATTAGCCACAGCAATGAGGTTATGTCTATGTTTGGGGATAAAGAACCAATACCTAAATGGCAGTGGAGAACACTGGAATGATACCATTAGCAAAAGGCCAGATTTGTGTGTGTGTGTGTGTGTGTGTGTGTGTGTGTGTATACCTATTAGATAGTCATCTTCACTCAGCAGGATATAGAAAAACGTCATTTCTTTGACAATGTTTGACTTATGTAATAAGAACAAATATGAACCTGTTACTAAAGAAATGACCAAATGAGCTTGATGAATTTATAACTCATAACACACTAATTTCACCCACCTAACATTTGTAATTCTGTTTGTTTCTATTTAAATAAAATTAGAATTAAATAAAGGGCATTTGGAGCCTGAAAGAAGTTTGCTCTTTTTCAGTCTCATTTTTTTTTTTCTGTAAACTATGCGATCCAGCATAGAGAACCATATCTAATCTCCCAATTAGGTCAGGCCCCAGGATAATCAATCTCCTTAACAGCAGATGCCTTGTTTTAGCAAATGAATGCTTGGTTTCAAAAGTTTTGTGTTGAGAGAACACTGCAGTTGGCATGGGTGATTAGAACTCTTTTAAATCCTATAAAAAGCTTCTATAGATTGTTTTATGCCCACATTTTGTGAACTGAAGTAAATGCTGTATATATTTATCTTCAAATGAACAATGAACATGGTGGGGACTTTATACAGCCTGTGAGGACATCTATATGCATATAAATGCAATTATTTGCAGTCTAAAATGTTTATGTCCATTTAAATTAAACTGTGTTTTTGATAAAACTTAAAATGCATTTATATATATTTTGAGTAGGTGCTTTCATATTTATGAAGTATGCTCCTTAATAACAATAACTTAATTATTAGAATAGCATTGTTTGAACTGAAAATATAATGACAAGTTAACATGATTTTCGTATTTGTTGTTTGGACCACTTTAAATTAGTTTTTAAGTGCCCTTCTTTCTATCTGATGCCTGCTCAGTTCATACTTGTAGTTTGTGTTAATGGGCAATGTGTGAAATAACTTTGAAACCAGTAAAAAAAAATTTTTAATTAAATTTTATAAACAATGTATATTAAGTCAAAATAATATGTTGACTTAGTTTGCTCAAAGCTTATTTGATATAAGATAAATTGAAATATAATGAAATAATTTTCTGGTATAATTTAAAAACCCTAAGCCTCAATAAATTATTTTAGATAATCGTTGTTCAAAATCTGATTGCTGGAATTTGTCAGTGATACCCGAATACATAAAACACTTCAGAGGCTACATAAATACGTATTTTCTTTTTTCTGGAGTGCTGATTACATAATCGAAAGTTGAAACATTTGCAAGGTAGGTGAGAAAAAAAGCATTCGCCAGCATATTTTTGATTTTATCATTTCAACTTTATTGCATATGGTCTGTTCTGCCAGTTTTTGTCTCCTTCTAAAAGTGTTTCAATCTGTTGAATCTATGGAAAGTTAATATTTTCCTTAGTGAAGGCTGATAAGACATCTGAGGAAAAATTAAAAACAGATGATCTCTAATTTAAGAAACATTTGATGCTAATTACTTCTTACCTTTTCACACAAATATTGGTAAATGTATAGGATCACATTACTTTTAAAGTGATATTTTAAAGCTAAATTCATAGAGATCCAGTGAGATAATTAGATGTTTGTATAAGATTTTTAAAATACAGACATTCTTAGTCATACAAAAATACCAAAAGGCACTGTGACAATCTACTTTTCCTTATTCTAATTTGTAACAGGATTTTAATATGGTCAGTAGAATGGCTTCAGCATATTTACAACCTTAAAGTTTTTAACTAGAAAACAGTTTGATGTCTAGATCTGTTACTCAGCTACAGTTTGGATTTAAAACTTAATTTGATTATTATAGCATGTAAGGCAGTTTACATTTGAGTTAATAAAATTAACACTTAGCCTTTTATGATCGCTTTCTTACTCAGATATCAGTGGTTTTCAGAATGCAAAGATTTCTAAACTGAAATTTCTTTCTTATCATGATGCTCTCGTGGCTAAGTTTATACTTGCATTATTTCATCTTTACACACACACAGCATAATATGACAAAAGAAAGTCTGAAAGAAAATATACCAATACATTGCTATTTTTGGATGGTGAATAGATTTGGGTGATCTGTAGAACCTTCTTTATTGTATTATACAGGCTTAACTTTTTAATCATTACTTTTTAATTCAGTAGAGTATGGCTATTTTCATTCTTAAAAACATATATATTATAATCCCAGTATAGGTGATATATTGTTTTCACAAAAATTTTATAATAAAGGTTGATGATAATTTTTTTTCCATCCTCTTGAATCTGTTAAAATCTAAAAGAAAAAAATATCCTGTTATTTCGTTGGCATTACTAATTTGTTCATGGCGTTTTATAAACCACTCAGCGGAGTTACAGTGTAATAATTGTAAACTGTAAGGGGTATGTTATGCTTAAAGGATCCCAGGATGATCCAAAACAAACTGCAAACATGGTAAACAGAAATTGTACCTCTGCAGGATCTCAGGACCCCTCTACACTGTTAAAAATTATTGAAGGCCCTTGCAAAGAACTTTGTGTATGCAGGTTATATTAGTATTTATCATATTAGACATTGAAACTGATAAATTTAAAAAATATTTACTAAATCATTTAAAAACAATGAAAACATATTATATGTTACCATATGTAATACAGTTTTTTTCTGAAACAAAACAAAAACCAAAAATATATATACATATATAGTGAGAAGAGTGGCACTGTTTTACATTTTTGTAAATGTTTTTAATATATTTAAAAACATTTTTAATAGGCTTAATAGGAGACAGCTGGGTTCTCTTACCTGCTTCTGCATTTAGTTGGGTGCAATATGGTGTTTTGTTTGAAGTAAAATCTGGCTTTACACAAATATGTAATTAGAGAAGAAGGAATATTTTAATAACTTTTTCAGTTGATTGTGGATATTCTTTAATATAACAGTGAATCTCAACAAGTGATAATCTGTTACACATTAGCTGCAGTGTGAAATCTAAAACCATATAAATCAACTTTTCAGACTTTTGAACCTAATCTCTTTCTTAAGGAAGATTTCTGAAAGGTGTCTATCTTTTGCTTTCAAAAAATAAATGGTAATATTCCAATCATAATAAGATAATCTTAAGCACATTCTGAAGGATATTTTAACAGTTTACTTTTCATCAAAGTTATTTTATAAAATATTCAAGCACTGCCTAAGTCTCTGATCCTGATTTCTTAATTTTTAGATGGATTGAATTTAAAGTTTATTATTTATTAGATGGAATACCTCTTAAAGCTTTGCTTTTTAACTTTCTAGAGGTAACTTTTTGTCTGTTAATTAAGCAGATGTAAACAGCATTGGAAAAAGTAAAGGTTTGATCAGTGATTTTTTTCACATGGTGCTCCACTATTCTAGATTTCTGTCCTCCCTGTAAGGACAAAAGAAAGTAGTTTTCAAAGAAAACCTTTGCTTGAGCTTGAGAACTGAAATACTGATTTCTAAAAGAAAATGTTTCAGTGGTAATGGTTTATTACCAGAGACTAAAGCCAAAATACACATTTTCTTTTGTGACACTCATATAATATGTCAACATTATTAAAAATAATTTAGAATGTTCTCATGTAGTGCTTTTGACAATGTTTCCTTTCTTTAGTAAGCATTTGTACAAAGTGTTGCACCAATTAACTGATTATAAGAACTCTGTAAAAATCCCTTTTCTTTCAAAATTGAGGTCTGGTTCTTTCCTCTACCAGACCTCTTTTTTGAATGACAAAAACAATGATGTCATTCTTTGACTCACAGGTCAACTAGCAGTGCTAGAGCCTGTGGCTATCTAATACATTCAGCATCTTGAGTAAACCATCCTTTGCCTTCTGTTACTGTCCCAGAATAGATCTGGTTCTCCTATTGTGCACTCTCATCGCTACCACATTGGATTTGCCCTCGTTGCACTCAGAGTGGTTATTTATTTGCACAAACACCTGACTAACATTAGACTCCCTCATTACACTGTAAACTCTAAGAAGGAAGGAGTCTGCTCCTTCTGCGTCCTTCTTCCATCATATGTCCAGGACCTAGGACAGTGTTTGATACATAATGGGAACTTTGTAATAGTGCTGAATATCTGAATATAAATTAGTATCACTGAGAAAGTACAGGAATATTCAATGTACTTTAGATTCTCCAGAATATTTCCCTTACACTTTAATGAGTTTCTTCATACTTCTTGAAATTGGCTACTCTGATACATCTCAGTTCTTGTATTTTATTTCTCACTTCCTTGACTATTTTGTTCTTGCCTTCTTTCATGCTTTTTGTTTTCATTTCAGGTTCTTTAAGGAAAGCCCAAAGTTCTGTCTTGCCCTTTACAATTTTTTTTTTTTTTTTTTACAAACTGTCTTTCAATTAGCCATAACCTTTGTGATTCTCAAGTTGAAATCTTCAGTGTCAATCTCTCCTTCAAACTGTGGTTCTCCATCTTTGAGGTATTACCTATATACTTCTACTAGATGTCCATCCTATTAAACTTAATAGGTCCATGACTAAATTTGTCACTTTTCATACTAAACCAATAATCCCTTGTGCTTACCTGTGTGTCCCAGCAGAATTTCTGCTCTTCCTACTTTTGTGTTCCTTCATCTCTGCTTCCCCTAAAACCTATCATGTCTCTCGCTCAGGGTCTATGTCTTTATTCCAGTTATCTCATTTCATTTCTCTCCTGTTGTGGTGGCCTTTACACTGTCCCTTCTATGTTTTGGCCCTCTTGGCTTTAATTTACCTGTGTACATATGGGAGAATAATCTTTATCAATCATTTTTAAAATCATGTAATTATCTTTAAAACCTTGTCAATGGAAATGTGAATATTTCCTGGATTTTTGAGGGTATTAAGGAATTATTGCTGATGTTTTTAGGTGTGAAAGCCATATTGGGCCAGACACAGTGGCTCACGCCTATAATCCCAGCACTTTGGGAGGCCAAGGCAGGCAGATCATCTGAGGTCGGGAGTTTGAGATGAGCCTTACTAACATGGTGAAACTCTGTCTCTACTAAATGTACAAAATTAGTTGGGCATGGTTGGACATGCCTGTAATCTCAGCTGCTTATGAGGCTGAGGCAGGAGAATTGCTTGAATCTGGAGTTTGCAGTGCGCCAGGATCTTACTACTGTACTCCAGTCTGGGGAACAGAGTAAGAGACTCCATCTAGGAAAAAAAAATCATATTATATTTAAAAAGAGGTCCTTATTTTTATATATACATACTGAAATATTTATGAATAATTGATGTAAGTCTGGAATTTGATTCAAGTAATATGTAGGAGAAAGAACATGAATGGGAGTACAGATAGGATAAGATGGGCCAGAATTGCTGTTTATTGAGACTAGATGATGGATACCTGGAAGTTTACTATACTTTTCTTTACAGTCTGATAAATTTACATTTGAAATTCTGCATAATAAAAAAATGAGTCAATTATTTATTTCTTTCATTGCTTATAAAATAGAGTCCAGCCTCTTTATTTAGGAATTCAGAGACAGAAACCAAAACTAGTCTGTGTGTTCAATGTCATTGGCCAATATCTCCTACATATATCCTCTGCTGATGTGACAGACCAGCAGAGTCTGTTGTCATCTTTCTCCAGTAGTCTGTGCTCCTATACACTTCTTACCATATGTACCTTGGCTGTAGGATTTCTGTAAGTGTTGTGAATATCACTGGTAATAGCTGTCATCCAGTGACAAATTCCTCAGCCTTTTTCTCCTGTAAGTGGGTTCCCCAGAAGTCTCTAGTGGACTTGAATCCCAGTTGCACATACTGATAAGTAATCTACCACATGTGTTACCTTTCCTTCCTTCCTTGTCTTCTCTTTTCTACTGCTCATTCCAGGGGCCACTTGCATCAAGTCTCAAAGTCTGTTCTTTCAATCTCACTCAGCTGCAAAATGGTTTCATTTCTGGCTCTTTGTTCAAATCAGTTTCTTGGCAATTATATTAGTCCATTTTCATGCTGCTGATAAAGACATACCTGATACTGGGAAGAAACGGAGGTTTTAATGGACTCACAGTTCCACGTGGCTGGGAGGCCTTACAATAATGGCAGAAGTCAAGGAGGAGCAAGTCATGTCTTATTACATGAATGGCAGCAGGCAAACAGAGAGCTTGTGCAGGGAAGCTCTCCCTTATGGAACCATCAGATCTCATAAGACTTATTCACTATCACAAGAACAGCATGGAAAAGATGTGATTCAATTACCTCCCACTGGGTCACTCCCACAACACGTGGGAATTACATGATGAGATTTGGGTGACAATATGTACAAGAGGGTTAGCAGGAAAAACTTGGTAAATAATTAATTCAAATATTGTACTTTTTTTTTCAATACCCACTAGTAAAAAATGTCAGTAAAAATATTCTGATTTATAATTGAACATAATGAGGAGTTCCTAATGGGGAATGTGCCTTTTTCTAAATGTCCCATTGTGATAACTTTAGTCCCTCAACATTCTTCTTCAGGTTCAGCAGTTCATTTTCCTGCCTTCTTTTCTCTAGTTTGAAGGTTCATTTGTTAGCTTTCTTCCCTATTCTCTTGTGCTCTTTTACAACTTGCTTTCTTGCTCTTTTATTTTCTTTGCTTTTGTTTTTAGAATGTGGGTTGTTACCCTATGCAGATCACTGCTATTAATCATCCGCACGTATTCAATTTGATTTGTGCTGAGTTCTTTCATGGTGAGCCATTGAGAGATATTCCTGTTTCAGATTTTTTGATTTGTTGGGCTTTGGTTGATGCTGGATAAACTAAAACTAAAGATGGTTATATAAATGTGAGCATGCACTGCAAATGGATTCTTAATCAATTTGCTTTTGCTTGTTTTAGAACTATAGGAATTATTCCTACCTCCTCCAGCTCATCAATTTCATTTACTGGCAGACAATTTTATCTTCAGAGGCCTAAAGGGTATTCAGCTTTACACAATTTGCTGCCTTCTCTTTGTATCAGTCATTCAAGACATTGTGTAACCAATTGCTGTTGTCCACTCTGTCTGCAAGAATGAAACCCTCTGATTTGCCATTATCCAGAGCTACAATCTTAAAATAATCATATTGTTCAAAACTTCTCAAACTTCTACTTTTGTAGGGTCAGCTGCTCTTTTTTTTTTTTTTTTTAGGACTGAGGAAGTAATACTCTATAAAATGATAACACATTTCCTCTTCCTTAAAAAAGTGGCTTTCTGTGACTCTGTGAGATTTTCCCAGGTAGACAGATAATCTTCATCTGAAAAATAGGCTTTGAAAATCAATCATTATTCCCTGCTTTCCATTTTTTTTCTCATCGATAGTCCATTAACTATCTAATATCGTCCTCAAACTCTGATGTAAACATTGATTAAGGCAAATTAATTTCAGGGCCTGGAATTACAAAATTTCTTTTTTCTCATCCCTTTTCTTGTGTATACTAATATGTTTTGGAAAATAAGCACTGAGGGCCCAGATGGTTCTTTCAGATGCTTTAGGTGGTCACAATCATCATCAAAAATACTTCATAACTTCCTCTGTTTAACTCACCTTTTTTATCAATTTTTTTCTGTGTAGAAAACAGAACTCTTCTG